TTTCTTTGTTGCTCGTTGTGTATTGCCTTTCACTATAATTTATTTATTCTTTTTTGTTTTTTTTTTTTTATATATCCTTTATTAAATAACATTTTTTTATTTATTGTTGATTTTTTATTATTTTTTATTTTCTCTACTTTCCGTTGCTTACTCTTTACTGTCTCTTCTTTCTTCTTCACACTAAACTTTATGTTTCTTTACTTACAAATTAAATACCCAAACACACACACATAAATCTATATATATATATATATATATATATATATATATACATGTATATAAATTTGTGTGTGTATACAGGCCTGGGCGTGAGCCAGCTCAATCAACTCGTGCAGCTCAAGACTATACATTATATACATTAGAGAGAGCCTTATCATCGATATATATTGGTGGTAGTTGTGATAGTTTAGTATTTTTAATAGATTTTTCGGGTTTTAGGATAACACAAATACCTTCTATGGATGTAAGTAAAGAAGTAATACAAATACTGAATGAACACTATACAGATATATTATCTATAGCATATATGTTGAATACACCATCATATATAGATAATATATGGAAAATAATTAAACTTATGTTACACCCACTAACAGCAAATAAAGTTGAATTTATAAATATAAATAATATACAACAAAAAAATAAAATATTACAAAGAATACCAACACAGTTTCTAGAAAACACCATAGGTGGTGCTTGTGAAACACAATATGAACATGAACTATACTGGCACGCAGAAGAACAATACCACCAACAAATTAAAACTTTTCAGCAACAAACTATAATACAAATGAAACAAAACCCTAAATATATACACAGAACTAAATACACAAATATACCAGCAGCACCAGCACCAGCAGCAGCAGCAGCAGCAGCAAGTGGTGCTGGTGGTGGTGGCGGTGCTGGTGGTGGTTGTGGTGGTGGTGGTGGTGGTGGTGGTGCAGCAGAAACAACAGCAAAAAGAGAAGCAGAAGCTGCTGCTGCTGCAGCAGCAGCAGCAGATACTGCAGCAGAAGCTGCAGCAAGCTCGGACCCTACAGCAGCAGAGCAGCAACAAGGCGATGCAGCAGCAGGAGAAACAAACAAACGAGAAGATACAGAATAGAGACAAAACCATCAACTATAAACGGCCAGGATACACATAGAAACACACAGACAAGTGTACATACACCCCAAATATAATTATTTATTTAAATACAGAATATCTATAACACACGTTTCGGGGTGTATACGCACCTAGGCAGCTCATCCAGCTCTCTGTCTGTCGCTCTGTCTGTATCCTGCTGGCAATCCGCCAATGCAGCTCTTGCTGCTGCTGTAGCTGCTGCTGTTGCTGCTGCTGTTGCTGCTGCACTTGCTGCTGCACTTGCTGCTGCACTTGCTGCTGCACTTGCTGCTGCACTTGCTGCTGCTGTAGCTGCTGCACCTGTTGCAGCAAGTGCCTCCGATCTGCTGCAGCTCTAGCTGCTGCAGTAGGTGCAGCAGTTGCTGCAGCAGTTCCTGCAGCAGTTGCTGCAGCAGCTGCAGCAGCAGTTGCTGCCTGCTTACCTCCGGTGCCTCCCAGCGTCTATCCCCTTTGTTGTTGGTTGTATTAACCTGAAACCCTAAACCCTAAACCCTTTTCTTTTGAGCCACTAGTGCTCGCCCCCCCAAACCCTAAACCCTAAACCCTAGGTGTACTGTTGAAGCGCTGGTGTCAGTGACACCCCAACTTGTAGAAAGCAGCAGCAGCGGCAGCAGCAGCAGCAGCAGCTGCTGCTGCTGCTGCGGCTGCTGCTGCTCTTTGCAAGTTGGGCGCTATAGAAGCAGCAGCAGCAGCAGCAGCAGCTCAGGGCTGGGCCCTTAGGAATTCCGTGGGTCTCGTCCTGCTGCTGCTGCTGCTGCTGCTGCTGTTCTTGCTGCTGCTGCTGCTGTTACTTTCGATACTGCTACTGCTCCTGCTGATGCGTGTACTGCTGCTGCTGCTGCTGCTGCTGCTGCTGCCAGTTGCTAGGAACGGGGGGGAGATAAAGAAAAGAGAGAAGAATCCTAACAAACAAAAAGAAGAAGATATATATATATATATATATACATAAATATATATATATATATATATATATATATATATATATATATATAT